GGGCATCTGATGCAATCTGCCAGGAGCCATGCCAGCCGGGCTGCCCGGGGAGGCTCTGTTCCTTGAAGAGCCTTGTGCCTGCTCTATTAATTCGGGCTCCCTAGGTATTGGAGAAGATTTCCCCGAGGGGTCTCCTGAGCCCTGGAAACCTCCCGGAGGGCTCAGCTAGCAAAAGCCTCAAAGATGGAAGGGGAATAAACAAGAAGAGCTGGGCAGGGACGTGAGCCGGCGGGTGGCTGCCCAGCCAAGGCAGGCTGAAATGTCTTGTTTGTGAAAACCTGTCCCCTGGGCCACCTCCCTGGGGACAGACCCAGCACCTCTCCCTGGCTGGTGCAGTCACAGTCTGAGAGGCAGGACCACGGTCATTCAGAGGGCAGAGCTGGCACATCATGGATACCCCACACCAAAGGGCACAGCTAGTGAAAGGACTGGAAACTTGGGGAAGAAAGCAAAGAGAGGTGGGGACGTGGATCCAGGGCTATCCCAGGGGTCGGGGCAGGAGGTTCTTCTAAAGAGCCTCAGAGCCTCCCATCATGCTGGGCCGAGATGTCTAGGGACCCCAGAGATTCCCAACAGCATAAGAAGAAAGCTGTCAGATGATTTTAGTCTTGGTTCCCAGCCCCCAGCCCACTGACTTTAATGGCATAGCTGTTTTTATAAATCCCGTGACTCTCTTATGAATTATAGTTAACTTACCTTGTGAATATTGTATTTGCGTAAATACTTAATATCTGCTCTGTATCTCGCCATCCTTTGTGGCGAGCCTTCCCTGGTTGCATGTCAGGAGTCTCACTTGTCTTACCCCAAACCAGTTGTCCAGACCTCTCCCCCCCCACCTCGGAGAGGTGCTGCTGTTCCGGTTTCCCTTCCCTTTTCCCCTACGGGAACAAAAAGGAGCAGTGACCAGCACCCTGGGTGGGCTGATCTGGATACTGGGTTCTGGCTGGTGGTCCTTGGAGGTGTGTGGTTTGCAGGGCACTTCTGTTAGGACCTCTGGGCTTGGAGGAAGAGGAGAAGAGACAGGGCAGCACCCCTCAGCTCTGCATGGTCCTTCCTAATTTCCAAAGTCCTGCAGTGCAACGGGGCTCAGAGGACCTTTGAATAAAGAGCCAGGCTAAGTCCCCGTGAGAGGCTGTGAGAGAACCCCTGCTTCACGGGGGCCGCTTGGCGGTGGAAAAAGCCCATAAGAGTCTGGAAGGCGTGTGTATATGTTCTTTTAGGGAAGTGTCCAGAAAATTATCTTCTTTTTACCTCTTGATTGTTTTCCTGTCTGTGTAAGAAAACACGCCCTCGTGAAATTTTCAAATGTTACAGAAATTAACTTAGAAAGTTATTTATTTTAATTTGATCTCATCTCTTCAGAGAGAACCACTATTGTTTGGTATTTCTCCCCCTCCCCAAATATTCTCCAATGTACTTATGTCATTAACAATAAAAATGGCCTCATGGGGCTGGGGATAGAGCTCAGTTGGTAGAGTGCTTGCCTCACATGCACAAGGCCCTGGGTTCAATCCCCAGCACCACCAAAAAAAAAAAAAAAATGCCCTCATGAAAGTATTTTTCTATAGGTTTTTTTTTTTTTTTGTACCAGATATTGCTTAACCACTGTGCCATATCCTCAGTTCATTTTTTTTGTTTTTAAATTTTTGGGTCTCAGAGTTTCTCAGGGCTCATAAGTTGCTGAGGCTGGCTTTGAACTTATGATCCTCCTGCTATAGTTAAACAAACAAACATCTTGGGCATCCCTTTCCATGGCAGCACAAAAGCTCCACATTAGTATTTTTGGTTGCATAAGAGTCCACCGTAGAGATGGTCATCATTTACTTTTCTGATTCTCCTCCCCCCAAACCTTCAGTATTTCGAAGAACTTGTGAATGGGTTCCCTCATTCACATACTATTTTGCATGTGTAGGCTAGCTATTTTAACCATGTAGGGTAGATTCTTGGAGGGAGTGGGGTTCTGTACTTGGTCCTGTGGATGTCCACTTGCCTCTAGGAAAAGGACTCATCTTCTCCCCACACTTCTATTGCTTCTAGAGGGATAGCAAGGATTACGGCATTTCTTTTTGGAGTCACAACTTGACCAGCCTGGAATGGTGGCCTCAGTCAGAACCTCACAGAGAGGGCATGTCAATTCTAACCTGTGTATCTCTCAGCCGCCTGGGTCTTGTAGCAAAGAATGACCAGGAAACAACAGAACAATGGCTTCAGACATGTGGGGGGTCCCCCACCATGAAGGTGACATATAGAAGAGCCCTAGACCCCACCTGGCTCATAGGGTGGTTGGTTGTACCTTCCTGACCCCTGATGTTGACTTCAAGTGATAACATCTGAACCCTCCCAGTGCCTAGCTTTGGTAACCACTGAGGAGGAGTCACGGGTGGTACATGAGACTAGGCAACCAGGTCCCCAGCCCCTTCCTGCTTTGCTGTGTGATCTTGTGAGGAAGTTTTGCTTCTCTGAGTCCCGACTCTCCACTCTCCAAATACCTGCTCTTTTTTTTTTTTTCTCCACCACAAGGCTAATGGTAATTTTGAAAACAATCTCTCTGGGCAAGGACACTAGGATGAGTTTCTTCCTCTGTTTTAGAACAGGCTGAATAAGGGTCAGTGCCTCCTACCCCCCAAAACCACTCTCCCTGGGATCCAGCTATTTCTTAAGGTCTCCTTGTCTTTGTTTAGCAGAGCGTCCAGAAGGTGTGGGGAGGTGGCTCACTCCCTGGTGGCTGTGATTAACTGGGCTCCAGTGAGCTCACTCCAGGGACCTGGTGAGCTGCAAAGGAGGGTCCTAACAGAGGTCTTTAAGGCAGGGAGCACTAAAACTCTTTGAGTTGGGAACAAAGCCGATGTTGCAAACAGAAGCCAGAGTTGGCCAGAGAGGGCCCAGGCACCCCACCTGGTGAGCTGTTGGAATCACCTGTATCCTGGAGGTATTTAGGAGGGGAGGGATGGGCACAGAGAAGGTCAGAAGTGAAGGTACAGAACAAGGTGGCCCCAAAGCTACCTCTGGAGCCTTCAGTGGAATCCCAGTTTGGCTGTATGTGCATTTCCATACCATCACGATTCCACCTCTGCCACCTTAACCCTCTTTGTTTTCCTCCTCCATTGATCCAGGGTGCTCCAGTCAAGCCAAGGATCCCTTTCTGGGATAAAAGGAAGTGCCCATTGCCTCCAAGGCTAAGTTGGGGGCTCTTCTGTGGGCAAATGGGAGGGAGATTTGCATCTGTCATCATAGAAAAATCCCCTCTTCCAACTCCAGCAGGTGTCCAGACCCCCACCTGGGTGGGGAAACAAGACTGGCCAGGCACCAGCACCACTAACTTGCTACCCAACCTGGCCCAGGTCAGGCCTCCTTTCTCTCTCTCATCTGCAGGAGGGGAATCTGCCCAACAGCTTCACAGCGGGACTCAAATAGGGTGCAACGGTTTTGAAAAGTACAATATTTCAGATTGTTCATCAGCTCAAGGCTTTGCATGATTACTGAGAGGGCCATTGGTTTCCCCATGCAGAATGGGGAAAGTAGAATTGTGGAGTCCTCTGTTTATAGCTGACTCATCTAGGAGGCCAGTGGTATAACCTTGGCTGTTTGGTAACTTTCCTTGAATCATGCAAGTCTCTGGTGCAGATACACTAGCAGGAGCATCCTTAGGGGACATACATGCCATGTGGAATACTGAGGCTGTAATCTTATTACAGTTCTTTTCACCAAGTTTTATGGAAATACAACCTCTCCTTAGCCCCATTTTTCAGATTGAACAATGTACCTCCTCCTGCAGAAATTCACAGACAGTTCACCGTCCTACCCAGGTAGCCAGATGCCCATTTCTCTACTTCCACTTTTTTATTGCCTCCAAGGAAACAAAACTTTACCCATTAAGTCCCTAGACATTAACCCTTGCCTCCCCATAGCACTCTGAGCAGAGGATCTCTGTTTAGCTACCTCCACACTCTGCCGAGGTGAAGCAGGGAGGAGGGAAGAACTGAGTGAGCCACCACCTGGTAGTGCCTCCCATCCCCCTTGCTCTCAATCCCAGGATAAACACCCTGAGCCACCACCCTGCCAACGGGTCTGAGATGCCAGCACATGTTGGATGCCAGGACCTTGGAAAGGAAATCAGATGGCTTATTTATTTTGAAGTGATGGAGAAAAAGTCTCCAGCGACATCAGAAGCCTCTATGGTGGGGCTTCCCTGTATGCCTGAATCAGACCACCATAGATGCTTGGAGTCCCAAGTGCTAGGAATGATCTCCAAAGGCCATTTGGTCTGGACCACACTTTTTGGGTTGGTCAACATCAAGACTACACAGTTTAAGATTATAAGTCTGCCCACATCCAGAGATAGAGTCAACAAAAGCCCAGAATTATCATCATGAGAGAATAGGGAGGCTGGCACCCTAATCCTATTCCAACACACCCACTGCTGCTCTGATTGGGAAATCCAGCCATGGGGCTGGAAAATAGACAAAAGAAGCCCAGGTATGTGCTAAGAGGCCCAGGTGCCATTCTCCACTGCTGGTCCTGGCCAACGAGGCTGAGGGAGCCGAGGCTTTCCCTTCAGGATGCCCCGATGGCCCCAGCTTCCAGAATGGTGATGGGGTTAGCAGCACTCAGACAGGGGAACAGAGGGAAGAAATGAGTGGGCTTCTGAGACCTGTGGCCACAGCAGTTGGAAGCAAGAAGTTATCTTTAAGGGAAAGGTGGGGAAGATGGCAGGGGGAATCATGGGGTACCTTTTCCTGCCCAGGCCGCCTCTCTGGGAAAGCTCCAAGTTGCCCGGAATGAGAATGCAAAAGCGGTGGGCTCTGTGTCCACCTCGGTCAGGGAGGAAAAGTTACTGACAGCTGTCTCCAAAGCATCTGAATGTCTCCCAGACTCGAAACCCGGATCCCAGCAGCCCTAGGGGGAAACGCACACTGCCCGCACTGACCCATGCCCCCTGCCCTTCCACCGCAGGTCCCCGGGGGACTAAGAGGCATCCGAAGTTGGGAGCTCTTACTGACCGTCTGCGTCAAAGTGCTTCCAGATTTCCAGGAACTGGGACGCTGTCAGCTCCGCCAGGTGCAGGTAAGGGGGCTGCTGCTGCGGGCTAGCCATGGCGAGCCGCTCGCGGAGACCTCAGGCAGCACAGCGCTGTGGCTCTGCGCGGCTGGGCTCGGGCACTCGCGCTGGTGCTGCGCGCCACGCTGCCTTTATATGCGGTCCTGAGCTGCGCCACGCCAGGCCGCCAGCAGGGGGCGCGCGGGCTCAGGGAATCGTTCAGGGGCGCGGCGCGGCGGGGGTGGCCGGGCAGGGCGGGTCGCCCTGGCTCCTTGTGGCCGCAGTCTGCGCTGAGACCCTCGGCGCTGGCCAGGGACGCCCAGAGCTCTTGCAGAGGAAATGGGCAGAGGCTGCACTTGCTTTCTCCCTCTCTGACCGTCTTGTGTACAACCACCAATTATTGCTAACAGTGGCAACAACAATAATAACAGTAGTAACAATCACGACACATAGTAATACTGACACAAATTGGATCAAATATTCTGCAGACTTTGGAGTTCGCTAGGTCTCTCTGACGCTCCCTCTCACCTGACGCTTTCCCGCAGAAAGAGCAGGGTCCACTTTTCTGATGAAGAACTTGAGGCTTCAGATGATTAAATAATGTGCCCAGCAAATAAGTGACAGATCTAGAATTTGAACCAGAACTCTTCTCACACCCCTAACCCCTTGGAGGGGGGGGGGTCCAGACTTGCAGAAGGGCAGAGTTCTCAAGGCATTACGGGGAGACAGCTGGTACTTGCAAGGCCCAGAGAGGGTTCAGGGAGTGGGGAGGGGCTTTCACTATCTCGGGCTGGTCTGTCCCTCCTCTGGGTACCTCCTTCCATTCCTGTGACCTGCCTTGGCCTGGACATGCTCTGGGACTTTCAGACATTTGTCCAGGGGATGGCAGAACTATACCCTATGGGACTACTTTTTAACCATGCCCACCCCTGGCCATGTGTGTGTGGGGGGTGTCTGCCTAGGTACCCTTAGGGAAAAGGTCCAGCTGTGAACTAGTGATGCTCTGAACTGGTCTCAGACAAGATAGAAGCAGCTATTGACGGCACATCCTGCAGAGGGCAGATAGGACTCCCCAAGCAGGGAAGGGGGTTCCCTCCCATCCTCACTGATGATCTGTGCTGGCCTTGCAGCCCCCTTACTCCCAGAGGGACAGCACCATCCCTCCCTCTCCCTTTCCTCCCACAGAGTGACTGAGACATGGATTGGTGCTTATTAACATGTGCTAATGAGTGTTAGGCAAACTCCCCGTGTGCAAGGGGGAGCACAAGAAAGGAGGTGAGAATCAAAAGCAGGTCGCTAGGGGAGGGGGAACCCAGGAGACAGAGGGAAAGTTGACCTTTGGGGACAGGGGTGAACCCACAGGGAGCCTCAAAGGGAAATACTGAGTGCAGCTTCTAAAGCCACAGTATTTGCGCAGGGAGCAGGTGTTTAGAGTTACTTCCAGGTACAGACTAGGAAGGACCTCAATGTATGCTCCCATTACTTTCCTCTTGGGGGGGGCGCGGGCGGGCGGGGGATCCTGGGCTGAGAAATTCACCAAAGTCATGGGCTCCTTACTTTGCCTTTGGGGAGACAAAATGGTTCAGTGGTCGATAGTAAGCGCTCTAGAATGAGGTTACTTGGTCTGAATCCCTGGCTCAGGAGGGGGGCCCTCTAAGGATCAAAGCCAATGCCCTGCTTCCTACCTTGGATAAATTACACAATCTGTCTGTGCCTCGTTTTCTTGACTGCAAAATGGGATCATGGATGGTTACCTCTTAGAATTATTCTGAGGATTAAATGTTAGTGCTTCTGCTGCCCTTCATGAAACCAGTGATTGGTGGTGAGCTTAGCAAGAAATTCCAAGGGAGGGCTAACACTAAATCAAGTCCCAGGGGAGAGGCTAAGACAGATGACTTCTCTAGAACGTGAGCTCTTGACCACTATGCAGTATAGTTCCTCAAGGGACCAGGCTGCAGCCTCTGGGTTTTGACATCTGTCATTCAGGCTCCTCTCAATATTCTCCAGTCCCCTCCCCTGCCCAGGTCCCTAGGTGAGAGAGCTCACCCCTGGCCCTCTAAGGATCAAGCCAATGCCCAGCTTCCTACTAGGGAAAGATGGTCCTGGGTATCACTCCAGGGTGGCCACTGTGACCTGCAAACTCTTCATTGACAGTCCTGCGTCATTCATGGTGGATGCATCCCTGGAGTCTGTTGCTGGGGGGCAGACTGGGGGGCCCATCCTTAGCTTTTAAGGACACATGCTCAGGGAGGACTGAAGAGCCCCAGCCAGCCCCTTTGTCCCCAAGCTGGGTCCTGCAGAAGCAGTCACATGTAGGCATTACAAGTTCCTGCCCTGGCGTCAGATGGCTGTGGGTTTGAAACTCACTTGTTGTGAAGCTTTGGACAAGTTATGTAACACCTTTGAACCTTAGTAAAAATAGAGGTGATGATAATAATACTAGTCTTACAAAGTCATGGGAGGATCAAATATAATGGAGTTAAGGGGTTAACTAGCAAGACTCCTGGCTGCTGGCAAGGCTTAATGAAAAGGTAGGTATTATTGTGAAAGCGGGCCACCAGGAGGGCTTTCTATTGTTGTTCTGAGAGAGTGGCACTTAGACCACACCTGGAAGCTGGGAGGCAGTCACCTCCTGTCTGCTTCCTACTCGGCACTCCTCCCCCTCCAACCTCCAGCTGAGGCCCAGGAGAAGCCCCGGTGCACAGAGGGCTTTCTTTATGGCTTCTCTGAAGCCAGCGAACCTCTCCAGTTCCCAGGGCTACTGCAGAGAGCGGGCCACATGAACCCACCTGGACCCAGGCAGCCTGGGCTGTGCAGGATTTGGGTTTGGGCCACATGTGAAGGCAGACACGCTTACTCCTGACTTAAAACTGTCTGGAGTCCTGAGGAAGCAGCCCAGACTGTCTGGTCCTGTGTCTAGAACGAAGATGAAGTGGCCACAGTCCTCTGCAGCCCTTGGAGGTTGCAGGGGCTCCTGGGAAAGGTGCACAGAGTGCAGAGGAGGAGCAAAGCCCGACTCCACAGCTGGCGGGGGCCCTGTTTAAGGAGGAGCTGAGAACTGCTCCCAGAAGACCTTTCCTCCAACATGCAGAGGCCCTTGTCTGTTGGTTGCTGTAGTAAAATGCATAGACCAGGTCATTCAGGAGGAAGAGGTCCACTTAGCTCATGGTTCTAGAAGCTGGGAAGTCCAAGAACACGGTGCTGGCATCTAGTGGGGGGTAATATCATGACCAAGGGCATCACTGGGGGATACAGAGCAAGCATGATCGCTTGAGTCTCTCCTCCTCCTCTTATTAAGCCACTAATTCTGCCATCAGCCCCCACCCTCATGACCTCACCTAACCCTACTGACTTCCCCAAGACTCCATCTCCACATACCATCAGCATATGAATTCTAATCGAATTTCCCACTCTCTTAATCCTGTTAAAATGTTAACAGAATTTCAGCACATTGGAACCATAGCACCTCCTCCACCTCTAGCTGTAGCCAGAACGGGGGGGATGCTCCTACAAACCACAGGTGTCCTCATAGTTGAGAGAAGCTCCTTCCTCTCTTCCTTCCAGCCCCAGGCCCTCTCCACCTGGGAGGGGACATCTGAGAGCCAGCCAATTTGCAGTGGGGGAGGGGCAGCATGGCACAGAGAAGAGTCTGGAGTTTTAAGCCAGGCAGACCACATTTAAATGACCACATGTGAGAGGGAAAACATGGAAGGAATCCTGAAGTGGTAGGAAGGGGAGGTGCACTTTGAAGCAGTGTAGGCAACAACAACACGACTCTTTATGTTCACATCTTAATGAATGGAGGCTCTTGTTCAGTCTTTTCAGATGCCTGAGGCTTTGCTCCTCTTCTAGGACTTCCCTTTCATAACCATGACAACAACTTGGCGAGGGTGACGAGGTGATGATCATGAGGACACCTTTCCAGGGGGCTTTCGGGTATTCTGCTTTGTTGGTCCTCACACGGTCTCTCTATGGGGCCCATTTTAAAGAGGAGGAAACCAGGGCTCAGGGAGAGGAACCCCAGTCAAGGCCTGGCAGGGAGGAACATCAAGAATACTTTGGCTCCTCCAGGATCCTGGGGTTTATGGCATCCTTGTGGGCCAGGTACCAAGTTCCTGGGCAATATCTATAAAGTTCTCCACAGACCCTGGCCACTAGGGCCATAGAGCCCCTCCCAGTGGCAAGGAGTGACACCATATGCACTGTTTCCAGGGGTGTCCACCGGTTCCCCTGTGGCTGGTTTGCCCCTTCTCTATATAGGGCAGATTGGGCACCTCCTCATTGTGCACCCCCTGCCCACTGACTGCATCCCAGGTGCTGTACCAAAGATTGGTGAGAAGACTGGCCCCCCCTGACCCTCTGCCTTCGGTCCCCAGACTCGCTCCTCAGAGAGGGAGGGAGGGAGGCCTGCTGACTAGGGAAAGGTGAGACACTGGAGAACCATGACATACAACCTTCCAGCCAGTATCCACTGGGATGCGGTAATTGGCAGAGCTCCTCAGAGCACCTGGTGTTATTTTGGAGCACATCAAAGAAAAGAAATCAGAACCTCCCTCTTCCTGCAAATGTTTCTTTCAGATATTGCTTCTTTGGTCTTTATAATGGTCAGGTCTGGCTACCAGGGTGCAGAGAGCTGGCCTCGCTTCCCAGAAAGGAGGATGAAAGGGATGCAGGAGCCCAGCAGTTTCCATGGAAACGGATCGAGGTGGTGGGGAGAATAGAGAGTCCTAAGGAACCCAGAGGTAGGTTGGAGCAGAACTTTTGAGTAACTCAGTCTGAAGACTGAGATCTGTGGACTAAATACCTCTGGGTAGCCACACCAGCAGTAGGGGCTATTGAGTCCCTCTCCCTCAACAGGCGGGGATGCAGGGGCTGAGAGTTCAGGCTCCAAAATCCCACAGGTCCCTTTCAGCGCCTGGATCTGCTGCTTACCAGCAGTTCTGCCCTGTGTTGGCTCTGTGACTCTGGGCAAAGTGCCTACCCTCTCTGAGCTTTGATTCTCTCATCGGTAGAAGGGAGAGTATCCTTGTAACTCCCTTGGAGGCATTTGTGAACATTAAGAGAGGTTACGTGTGTGAAGGGTGATGCAGGACCCGGAACAAAATCAGCAAACATTGCTACCGAAGGCAAGTGATGGGAAGT